CCTGGCGGCTCCTCCGCGCCCTGCCCGGGCTCCGCTTCGCCTCCCTCCTCAGAGGGACCCAGAGCGGGTGTTGCCCTCGTTTGTCTGGCGGGAGGAGGAGTTCGGGGAGCGCTCCTCAGCCTCACAGACGCTCCCTTTGCAGGAGTTAAGGGTCAGTTCGCAGCACGAGCAATAATAATGCGGTGACCGTGCGGTGTCCCCAGGGTAGCTGGAGAGTTCTTGGGGTTTGCATGGGACCTGCCGGGCTTTTGTCCAGGATTGGCACGTTTGGCGCAGGAGTGGTTGAGAAGAGTGGGAGAACAGGGCTTTGCTGGGTGTTACAGCTGTCAAGGGGACTCTCATCTCCGGGCCTGTGTAGGGATTGTTCATATTCTTTCTTTCTTCCTCTATTCCCCTGCCCTTACTGACACCCAGGAGGGGTTATTTGGAGTTTTGTTTTTAGGGTTGGTTGGTTGTTGCTTCTTTGAGGTTTTTTTCCTCCAAGTTTTCCTAAATTTAAGTAAAAAAAAAAAAAGTCAAGGGAACAATTTACAGAAGTTATCTTTTGATCCTAAGTTATTGTTGGTACATGTTGCCATTTAAGCATGTGTGAGTCATGATGCTCTTTGAAATCAAACAGCAGTAAGGGATTTCCTTTCAAAGCTGACAACTGCTCCTTTTTTGTTGTTGTTGTTAACATCAGCTTGTTTATGCCAAACAAAAATGCCAAGCAAAAGCTTGAAAAAGTAGATGCCTGCCTTTGTTCTCTGAAGATCACAGACATGGAGGACACCTGACTTTGCTGGTGAGGGACCTTTGCCTGAGGGTGCTGCAAGGCCTACGCAAAGCCTTTTAGGAATGCTTCTGCTCTGTTTTGTTTTCAGGTGATAATATCTGAGCCTGCCCCAGCTTTGACTGACTGTTTCACAGGCATCCCTAAAACCAGGTGAGCTTTAGTTTTGGCACAGTCTTCACAGGAGACCCTGTGTGAAATGGGCTGTTGCAGAGTCCAGTGTATGTGTACATGAAGGAGAGCACTGGCCTTGTAAACTTGGGCCGTGGTGTGGCCTTGGGAGGGCTGAGGATCTCTGCACAGCCCAAGCATGAGGGAGCTGCTTCTTTCCCCAGACTTCTTGTGGCTTCTCTGGATGATGTTCTCACCCTCAGCAAGCCTTCGGATCACTGGGTCGTGGCTTCAGGGCCCTTGGTCTGGACTTCTGGCTCCTAACAGGCCGCAAAAGGGCCAGGTTTTGGGTCCAAGGGTCCAGGTGCTTGAGAGAGGTGCCTAGACATACCAGTGGTTTTATCTTCAGTGGGATCAGATGGCAAACTGACAGCCCTGGGGTCTACATTAGAGCATCTTGCCCTATTCCTAGGTGATGTTAATGTGCTGATCTAATGCTGCTCACAGAGGCATACATTTTGGCAGTGCTCCCTGTAGTTACAAGGGAGAAGCCTAGCAAACAACCCAATGATCAGCTAGGATTGTTTTTCAGATTGCTGTGGATGCTGCTAATGTTGCATCATCATCAGTGCTACCAGGAAGTGGGGTCGGACAGAACCAACGTAACTCTTCTCGATTCTTGAAACAAATGTTGCTGAGGGTGTTGCTACCAGACAGCAGTGGTACAGGTGTGATCCTGCATTTGTTTCAAATGTTGCCAGCTGCTCTAGAAAGAGAGGTTTCAAGTAATTTGCCTTCAGATGTCTAAGGTTTCCAATCATCAAGCTGTCCCTCTTGGTAGCTGCACTTGACAAGGCACAGAACCATGAGCAGGTTACTCTTGGTGGCACTAGGTGTTCTTAAGGTGTTGGCCATGCCAGTTGCCTGTCTACAGCAGAATGAGGTTCCCCTGGTTCCTCTACCTGGAAGGAATCTCAAATGAGCGGTTTCATTGTGTTATTCTGACCTTTACAGATCTTTTCAACATACATTGTCTCTTCGTAAACCTCTGGAAGTCCACTGGGTTGAAGCAGACTTGATTACTGGAGGTTTTTTTTCTGTTGAAATTGAACTCTGTTGACAGGATTTTACTTTAGGTGGTTTCTTTTGTCCAGAGCAAGACTGGTCCTGTGCTGCTTGTACCACTACACCTGTCTATCCCAGGCTCTGCCAATGTGTTTAGTTGGGTACTCATGTGTGCTGCATCTTGCTGTGGAGCTGCCCTTGTTAGTTGCAGTGGTTAAGCTCTACTGGTGGCCTTCAGAAATGTCTCTGTGCCTCACTGACCGCAGAGGGTTTATCGGTAACTGCAGTTTTGACATTCATGGTCCTTATGTACCTTTACATCCCTTCTGGTCATGGCCCAGGAAGACTGCCATCCGGTTTTGCACACGAGAAGCACTGATCCTGAGGGAGGAGCCATGACCTGTCTGTGTGACGTAGAGAAGCGTGGTACTCTGAAGATACTGCCACGGCAAAATAATCTCTAGGCACGAGTGCTTGTGGTGCGTGGCTGCTCAGAGTTAAAACATGCAACCCATTTGCAAACTCTTAACAGGTAGCAAGCATCCTTTCACCCATACCTCCTGATGGCGCTGGTGTACAAGAAGCAGGGACTTAGGTTTTTTTTTTCAGAAAAGTGGATCTTGTTAGTATTTTTTGGATCTTCATTTATGTTTGTAAACAGAGATTATGAATGCTTGCATCTTCCCAGCCCATGCAGGGAAGGAAGGGCAGGACTCATCATTGATGCCCAGGTCTCCCCCATCCCCAGTGGCAGAACTGGCTGCTCCTCTAGCCCCACTGATGTAATGTAGAATGGTAGACACAGGTGACTATGTAGGCATGTGGGGCTAAGGAGGGTGTGTGATGTTGCATGGCTTTGACTTCTCTGGTTTTATATATTCTGCAGCTAGACCTTAGGAATTTCAGGAAAAGTATTTGGGGGACTTTCTTGTCTTCCATTTCCTTCTAGGCAACCCTGAATGGTTTTGAAAACCAGGACTAACTAGTTGATTACTGATTCACATACAAGTGGTTTTCCTGCTTTATTTTCAATAGTAGCTCACATAATCTGAAGAAGGAAGGGAAAGGGGAACCTTGTGTACAGTAGAGATCACAATGTACAATGCAAACAATCTGAACAAACAGAACAGGTGCTCTGTTCTGCACTTGAAAAAAAGTGGGTTAATTACTTTGCCTTACCTAGTTTTCTGTGCTCTCTAACACTAGACAGTGTTCATTCACTATTTAAAATCTTCACAGCCATGAGGGTAAGACACCAGGGAATCCAAAATCCTCCCTTTAATTCAAGCTCCATGACAGAGTTCACTATGGGGGGACTTTACTCTGAAGTTAAATATTTCAGGAATATTTAATTTTAGCAATAACACATCGTATCTTACTGCCTTCCATCATATGGGAGATTGCGTTCATCCACATAGTGGGATGACCCAATGTGACTGTTAAAACAACGAGGCTGGAGAAGGGACTAGAGGGAAAGTCTTATGAGAAGAGGCTGAGGGAGCTGGGGTTGTTTAACCTGGAGGAGACTCAGGAGGGACCTTATCATTCTTTACAACTACCTGAAGGGAGTTTGTAGTCAGGTGTGGGTCAGGCTCTTCTCCCAGGCAACTAGTGACAGGACCAGAGGGCATGGCCTGAAGTTGCACAAGGGGAGGTTTAGGTTGGATATTAGGAAGCACTTCCGTATGAAAAGGGTGATCAGATATTGGAATGGACTGCCCAGGGAAGTGGTGGAGTCACCATCCCTGGAGGTCTCTAAGGAAAGACTGGATGTGGCACTTAGTGCCACGGTCTAGGTGATGTGGTGGTGTTAGGTCATAGGCTGGACTTGATGATCTCAGAGGGCTTTTCCAGCCTTAATAATTCTGTAATTCTGTGACTGACTGTAACAGGACCTTACTAAGGTCAGAATACCTTCTTTATGTTAAAGTAAATCTCAAGGTTATTTTTTGCCTCAGTGATACCAGGATACCTGGAAGGGTGTGAATCCATGCAGCTTTTCTACAATTGGACTCAAATCCAGTTGTATAAATGAAACTGCTTTAAATGGGAGCAACTTTCTTCAAGTCCTAATGATGTTTTCATTGTTACTTAACAAAGTAGACCTGTCTAGGTCATGCCAAGGGCAATAACAGCTTTCATACTGTCAGGCTGAGAATGTTTTCTGTTAATCCAATTATGTATTTTCAGATGTTTTGGAGAGTTGTCAAAAGCAGCCATTAAAGAGAAGCAAAAATACATTCCTTAAATTTTTTTCATTGTAGTTACAGGAATAAGTTATTTCCATAATGACTGGAATGACTAGAAAAGTAATCAGAAGAATAATGGCTGTGTATATGCTATATACAGACACAATTAGTTAATGATGTGCTGCTGGGGCAAAGCATGGTCTGGGAGGATATTGGGAAACCCTGTTCACAAATCAGTCCTGATTGTGTTTTATGACTGGTGAGTTACATACAATTCCTGTGACACATACAAGAACAAGTGGCCTTACAAAGAGGCTAGAAACTGTTATCTTCTTACCTGCTGCTAAAATGTATAGTATTTTGAAATGTGAGAGCAGAAAAAAAGCTAGATAGCCTTGCAGGATTTTTCTAGGAAGCTGGAAGACTAAGACTGCTTTTCTTAATAGCCTCACTAAGTTCAGAAGGCTTTGAGTGTTAAAGAATAGTATTGAGAAGTTCTCATCTCTGGACAATTTTTTCATGAAATGTGTTTGCAATGTCTCTTAGTAGTATTCACTGTTGCATAGTGTAACAGGGCTCGAATAAGGAAGATTTCACTGTTTTTAAATTTATCAAAATCTCTGACTATTCTGCATATGACTTTTCCATAGATTCATCCCCTTCTAAATGTCAGCAACTATTAAACAAATATCTTGTTCCTTCTGTTGCAGGTGTGGACATTGTCAGCGTCTCCAGCCAACTTGGAATGATTTGGGAGATAAATACAACAATATGGATAACCCACAGGTCTATGTTGCTAAAGTGGATTGTACTACAGATGCTCCACTCTGCTCTGAATTTGGAGTCCGAGGGTACCCTACGTAAGTATAGTAGAATGCCTGGCTCCTAGTTCTTTCTTTTTCAGTTTTCCATTATCCTCTGCCAATTTGCTGAAGCGAACTTCTGAGCTATTTTTTTTTGGTGGGTTTCTTTGTACCCCTTTGGACCTCATATGTGTGTTTTAAGGCTTTTTACCATGGTGCCAAGTATCATGTGATACATACTACTTTTATTATTTTTTATTTTTTTTTAAAGAAACTGGTTTTTGTCTTGGAAGATAGCTGTGTTTAAATGAAGTCCAGAATTGTCCTTTTCGAGTACCTCTTTCTCAAGCTGCAGTACATTATACAGCTGTGATATGCATGATAGAGCTGGTCACTGGTAACAGTACTTTTAAAAATAACTTGTCACAGGTTGTCAGTGCACTGCACTATTAAAATCAGTGTGTGGGTGATCTCTTACATTTTTGAGTAAACTTGGTGCTCATAAATTAATAATATCACTTAGCATAGCAGTGGGGATGATATACAGACTTGTCCTACGTAATTTTGCTGATGTTGATCTAGGAGATCACCTAGGTTGTTAAACTTACACTGTAATAAAAGAAATATGCCCTACTACCTCAGCTTTGGTGCACAAGACATGATCTAGAGTATCTGTAAGACGTCAGCCTGAATAGTGCTTTGGAGTTTGATACCTGCACTCCCTTTTTAGCTGCCAAAAAGGAGCAAAGGGATTTTTTTTCACTTGTGTGTTCTTCAAAGCTTCTTGAAAAAATGCATGGGATAATTTAAGTTGCTTTACTAATTACTCATCTTAGTTGGGGTAAGTGGAGAATGTGATCATCTGTAGCCCTTCCACAGCCTGTGTTTTTCAGTTTCCTTCCCTTTGCTTACTTCGTCCAGTGTTACTGCTGACCACAGCAACAGCCTGAACTTGACACATGCCACTGGCTGCACATGCTTTGACGCAGATGAGTGCAACTGAGTAGATAGAAGTTAAGAGTTATAAATAGCAAAGTCCCTGCTGAAATAGGAATTGTCCATAAGGGCAGTTTGTGGCTTAGTTCCACTAGAAATAGCAAGGAACAATGAATACTGCAACTCTATTTTAATATCCCAAAAAAGCAAGCATTTTTTCATATTTGAATAGACTATATTGTGGTGCTGTTCCTTGTAAAACATAAGGAGAGGCAGAGATTTTGAATAGGACAAAAAATGAATGGATGTGTAATTGTTTCCCCTCCTCCCCCCCATCCTTAAGGTCATTGCATATCTAGGAATAGTTAGTGCTTGCTTTTATCTGCTTGAAAAGTACAACTAGCAGTCATCTGCTAGTAATGAAAATACAAAGATGAAGAGGAATTGATGAGATCAATTCTCTTCCTGCCTGAGTCAGTTTTTAACTAGCTTGTTTTTAAAAACCTCCAGCAAGGGAAATTTCACAGCTTCCTCAGGCACAGAGGGATTGTCACAAGTCCAGGATGTGCTGGTTCCTACACTGCTTTTCCAAACACCCGTCTGAGGAAAGGCTGCATTCCCCTTCCATTCTCCTGAGAGTAAAATTGGCTGAGCACGTCCTCGCACTCATTAGTACACTTGCCCTAGGACTGATTATTTGGTGCTGCAAAATACTCTCTCAACTGAACTAGACAAAACTTATACTCATTTGAAGAAAATATAGGTGCAGCTGGCTCTTTAAGCTGCTGCTTTTTTTTCCCCTATTACTCTTCAAAAGCATTGCTATGAGGTGTTCCTCTGTTTCATTTTTGTGTTTCCTTCTTGTTACTAAGTTGGCCCAAAATTTTGACCTTCTATTATCACAAGGAATATTCAAGAATTCCTTAAAAGAGGAGACATCAGGAGCTCCTATCTCTTTAGAATGTATTTGCATTATGTGTTTTTTTCAACACTTGAATAGGTTCATTTTTTCCAACTGTTGGAACAAGAAGAGAGAAACATTTCAAGGAAAAGCAGTACAGAATGACAGCTTGGCAAGGGGAACTGAGGGCTAGGTGACAGGAGTAACTGAAACTATTATTTTCTTTAAAAAATAAGATGATGTCAGAAGTCAATATTGCCCCTTTACCAAATATATTTATTATTTTAATTTAAATATTTAATAGTAAAGCTTTAGGTAGTTTATTGAAAAGTTTTGATAGCAGTTGTTAAATGCTATGAAGTCTTGAATCCTTACAATCAGTCACTTATCTCCATGTCCTATTGCCTTGTTTCAGTGTGTTTTTAATCAGTTTAATACCATGTGAAAAGTCCTACATTCTAAGAGCAGTCAGGCAACGACACCTGAGAAAGAAATTCCTGAGGAAATAAGCATTGGATATTTTTCCTTTTGGTAATAGAGAGGGGTGAACAAAACATAATTGATGTTCTTTTAGAAATTGAAATAGGATTCATAGACATAATGCATTATTAACCTTATGACTAAGGCTGCAATTTGCTCTTGCTTATTAATCAAAGTAATATTAGCCTATGTTGATTTTTAACATGGTATTTATTTTTACTATTTTAAACATTTTGATTAAAAGCCTACATGTGAATGAAAAAGTGTCCTAAGTTCTAGCCATGACCCGCTAAGTTGAGGGAGACACCTGATGCTAATGTTAATAGTCAAAAGAGCTGTTACTGCAGCCTGAGCTGCATTGCTGTGAGTTAGGAAAGCATATTAGCTTTCTGAGAATGTTTCCTGTGTGAAAAACTTTGCATCATTCTTTTCTATGTTTTGGTCCTTTAGCCTAAAGCTTCTTAAACCAGGACAAGAACCTCTGAAATACCAAGGCCCTAGGGACTTCCAGGCACTGGAAAATTGGATGTTGGAGAAACTAAATGAGGAACCATCTGTAAGTGGAAAGGAAACAAGAAAAGGAAATACTGTGTTCTGCAGACTTGCTAATCTATAATTTCTATAGGTTAGGTTTAATTTTCCAGTAGGTAATCTGCTCCTGAGAATAAAAGTCAGGTGGCAATAACAATATGGAACAGCTTCTACATAAGTCAGAATAGTAATTAAACTATCATCCTGTGACCTGCCCTTTGTTTCCTGTACGTAAAAGTACAGTACGTAATGCATTTTTTAATGTTTAGCATTTTGCCATTTTATGATACAATTCTTACTGTCCATTCCATTGTCACCTGTGGGCCATAATGTTTCTAGACTAAGAAAAGCAATTTAGCTCTATTATAAGTTGTAAATTGTGTTTGTGTTGGGCTTAATTGCCTCTTAAAACTTGGAGGGCATCTTTAACTCAGTTATTTTATTATAATGTTGTAGCTTGAAGAAAGGGTTTTAAATAATCAGTTATGTAAGATAAGCTAACACCATCACTAGGAAGACCTTTGAGTTAAAGCGCAGCACTTAGATATAGTATCTAAGCCTTGCCTAAATTAAATATAATTGCTGTTTCTAATGAAGATAAAGCTTTAGTGATTGTTGAACTACAGTTAGAATGTGATTATCTGTAAACAAGCAAGGTGTTTTTAATAATTAAATGCTGAACTATGCTAAGAAATGTACTTTGAAGTTCCTAAAAAAAATTCTTTTCCAGCTTTCTTTACTCTAGTACCTGGAAAGTATTCACTTGATTTTCTGAAGTGCCAATGGATTTGCTGCAAATTATACGTGCAAAATGTTTGCTCTTTTTCCATTGTTGCTGGCTTCATGGAGCCATTATGCTTCTCTTTATGGCACGAGGGGAACAGAAAATAGCTTTTTCACTCACTGTTTTTAAATGACCCAAAGACCACTGAAACTGGTGAGGTGGCAGATGTGTCTGATGCCTGATGCTATGGAGGAACAGTTATGCAATCTAAGTGTGTGAATATATGGTGATGTGATGATGCCACAGCAATTACTGTCTTCTGTGACTATACTACAGCACAATGAAAGACACTTATTCCAGTGACTGTGATAGCTCTTTTCTGTCTGGTAGTCTTTCACATTTTGCTTTCAAGTAGTTGTTTGTTAGAAACAACAAATAAAGGCATTGCTGTAGGAGTTAAAAATTTCAGAGTAGAGGGTGTAGAGCACTACCACAGAATGGTGTGATACAGGAATAAAATATTGTCTGTTTACTGTACAAGACAAATAAAAGTGTTTTTTTCTCATTAATAGGATCCAGAATCTGATGTGGAACCACCAAAAGCCCCTGAACCTAAGCAGGGAATGTATGAACTCTCAGCAGACAATTTCAAGATGCACATAGCAGAAGGTAACTGCTTCTTTTGTAGGCAAAATTTATTAACTTATGGAAACACTGGTAGTGGGAAGTCTGCAACAGAAATGTTAGTTTTCAATGTACCTCCTTCCCATTTTTATTTTCTAGTAATATCTAGCAGAAGAGGATGAAACTACAAACTGTATAAAAATTGCAGTAGTTTAATGGTGTACTGCACACCATGAGAAAGTTTAAGAATGGCACTCGATGCAGAAGGCAGTAAAATTAAGGCCCCATATCATATGGAAGAAGCCAGTGGGGTTTGCTTGACTAAAGTGCCCCTTTCCCTGAGTTCCTTGCTCAATCACAGCCTTGCCACTCACCTTGTGGTTTTGCAAGTCCCATTTCCTCTTTC